GACGACAAGCTGGTCTTGGTGGAAGTTCAGCTGCTCGAATCAAGGGTCTACCACGCGTTGGGCAACATACCAAAGGGTCGCGCTGCCCTCACTTCCGCACGAACATCGGCTGCTTCGGTCTACACTCCGCCTCTGCTGCAGGCTGGTCTCGACATGCAGAGTGGCATGCTGCACGCAGAGGACGGCGACTTCAACACCTCCTTCTCCTACTTCATCGAAGCCATGGAGGGGTACCACTCACAGGATGAAGAGCAGAAGGCTACTTCGGCACTCCAGTACATGTTGCTCTGCAAGATTATGCTCAACCTCGGAGACGACGTCACCTCGCTCATGACCTCCAAGCACGCTGTCAAGTACGCAGGCAAGCGGTTAGAAGCCATGAAGGCCGTAGCGCGCGCACACACCAACCGCAGTCTCGAAGAGTACGAAACCGCCCTGACCGATTTCCGCCAGCAGCTAGGCAGCGACCGATTCATTACCTCCCACCTCCGACGCCTGTACGACAACATGTTGGAGCAGAACCTGATCAAGGTCATCGAGCCGTTCAGCAGGGTAGAGATTGACCACGTCGCCAAGATGGTCGGTCTCGACACAATACAGGTTGAGCGCAAGCTTTCGCAGATGATCCTCGACAAGGTCATCATCGGAGTTCTGGACCAGGGTGCCGGATGTCTGATCGTCTACGATGAGTCGGAGCGAGACCAGGGCTACGACGCGGCACTCAGTACTCTAGAGAAGCTGAGCAACGTGGTCGATGTACTTTACACCAACCAAGCTTCTCTGCTAGAGTAAGAGGTGAAAGGGGAAACTTTGACAGCTCCCGAAGCTATGTACAATAAAAGCATAGATGTTAGGTATGCTACACGTCCAATGCGACTAGCTAATAACGATGACACATGACATGGCAAATCTTCCAGGGCATTCGTGCGCGCTGAAGTGGTGTTCACCTCGGTTTGCCCAGGCACAACAGCAGAACATTACACAGCACTCATATTTTGCCCGGCTATACATCGGCAAACTACCATGTCACCCTTGCTTCTTTTTCTCGAATAAATTGTCGTGTACTATCCGGCATAGCAAGGGCAGCCTTACCGAGCCGACACTATACACATCCCCGTCTCATTCGCTCATCCTTGGCGATCTACACCCACCTCCCATAGCAGCTCCACACAAGAACCACATAGCATCCCCAGATAAATTGGCCTGCACGACAACGAACGGGGGTTTGATTTGGAATCACGGAGATAGGGGGTGCAGGACGAAAATATGCAGAAATGAATGGTAGCAATGGGAATTCGATACGTGTATAAAGTACCATGTCTATCGCATGTATCTCGAACACCCAAGCAGGTCAATCTCATCGCCTCCTCTCCTTACTTCACTCCTATACTCAGCTTCATCATGTACTTCACCGCCGCCGCCGCAACCACCCTCCTCTCCCTCCTTCCCACGGCCCTCTCCCACGGCCTCATCACCTCCCCACCCTCGCGTCCCACAGGCCCAGAACTAACCTCCCACTGCGGCCCCGCCATAACCCGCACCATAAACGGCGACAACACCTCGCACGTCGAGGGCCTCCCCGAGCTCCTCCTTCCCCCTTACACCGCCTCCAGCTGCAACCTCTGGCTCTGCAAAGGCCTCCAATTCGCCGACAACCCGTCCAACAACACGCAGGTATGGAGCGCGGGCCAGGTCGTGCCCATGAAAGTGTGGATCCGCATTCCGCACGAGGGCTCGGCCAATGTGAGTATTGTGGATACGAAGAAGAATGAGGTTGTGGGCGAGATGTTGAAGGTGTGGGAGGAGGGGTATGCGCCGGGGAAGAGTGAGGCGGATGTACCGGCCGGGCAGAAAGAGTTTAGTGTTAAGGTGCCGGAGGGGTTGGAGGAGAGGTGTGCGAAGGCAGGGGATTGTGTAAGTTCTCATGGGTTGAGTAATCTATGGGAGATGCTAACAGAGTGTAGGTGCTGCAGTGGTGGTGGTATGGAGTAGCGGCTAAGCAGACATACGAATCTTGTGTTGACTTCAGAATCGCGAAGACGAGTGCAAAGAGGGACTCTTTCGGTCGTGCATTCAGGGGATGAGGTTTACCGCCTGTGGACAGCGGTTTGTGGTTTAAGTTGCGTGAAGGTTTGGAAGTTTAGAGTTAGACAGTCATGACTTGTTCAACTACATAGTCAACCTATCCATGATTGACAACATGTCATCCCTCTAATCCTGAGCCCTTCGCTTTCTCGCTTGCATATTCACAACCGCTATGCCCAACAACGTACCGCAGAAGAAACACATCATGATTGTCGCTGCGACCATGGTACAACAGTAACGCTCGCTCTCTCGCGTGCGTCTTGCTTCTGTCTGCACGTGGTTGTCGCATATCTCGCAATGCGTGTGTGGTTCGGGGTTTGGTCGAAGGAAATTAGTGATGGTTTGAGCCAACGTCTCAGTGTTTGACGTTGATGAAGAGGGGTTGCCGGAAGAAGTGTGGTTGTGGGGTTCAGCGTGGAGTTCGATGTCGTTGTCATCGGTTTGGCTTACGGTCGTGTACTGTGAATTGATGGGTTAGCAAGATTGGAGGCTTGTGACACAATGTGGTAGATTAGCTTACGGCTGATGCTGATCCAGAGGGTCCGTATCGGTTCACGGGATGATCGTGCAATACTTCCTCGTAGGCGGGTGCTGCTTCTTGTGGAGTAGTCGGGATGCCCATTTTCTTTCCCGATTCCATAATGGTACCTATGTTGTGGGAAGTAGATATGCTCTGAGAAAGTAAGGAGTAAGTAGTTAGTTGTAAGATCAAACGTGCGACAGCACTCTTGTCATGTTTATTAGCCAGCTACAGCCGCTTTGCCGGTCATCCACAAGCTCGTGATTCTAGCTGGATGTTGGATGCCTGATGAGATGATAGGGTGTCACTAGAGGCTGTGCTGTCAGTTGACCAATAAGATCGGTTCATGTCCGTAAGTTTGCGGGGCTGTGTCGGCTTGCAAGCCACCGTTGAGGTTTGATCGAAGATAAGCATCATAGTGCTGTTGCTTGAGCACAGATCAAGCCAATGACGGCACGAATCTGGGAATCGCTCAGCTGCATCCTATGCTTGGCCACAGTTTTGACTCTTTTCGGAAACATACATGCAGATCACAGGATGATTGAAATAATGATACTGCATGTTCTTGTTTGCGCGCTCGTCTCGTGATGATCCGATTGCAATGACTTTGACGGTACTTTGGGTAAATAATGATACTCATTCATAGTAGATGTTGTAACAGTCTGACGAGTCCCTCACTGCGCGACCTTGATGACAATCTTACCAGAAAAGTTGCCTGACAATTGAAGATCAAAGGCCTTCTTCGCGTCCTCAAACCCAAACGTCTTGTCAAGCATGACATCAAACTTGACCTTCTTGTCCTCAATGAACGCATTCATATCCTCGAAATCCTTCTTCGATCCTACAGCGATACCCTTGAGCTTCGCGCCCTTACCCATCAGGGCCATCAGCTGAGCTGGCTTCCAATCCGCCTCCCAGCCAGCGAGGAAGCCGACTAGCGAGACAGTGCCGCCGCGAGCGCATAGGTAAGAGATGTCATCGATAAGGGAGCCGACGCCAGTGTTGTTGACTACGAAATCGACGCCGCGGTCGTTTGTAAGTTCCTTGATCTTGGCAGCTTGGTCGTCGGTCTTGTAATTTAGACCGCGGACTTTGTCGCTGATCCGATCTTGGATCGCCTTGATCTTGTCGTTCGAGGATGAGGTTATGATTGGAGTGATGCCGCCGGCGAGGCAAAGCAGTAAGGAGAACATGGAAACGCCGCCGGTGCCTAGGAGGTATGAGTAAGAGAGTGGGGAATCCGTTATCTTGCCTCACCTTGTAGTAGAGCACTAGAGTGCTCTTGTACCGTCTCCAACGAATCCAGCGCATTCCAAGCCGTGACACCTGCACACGGTAACATTGCGCCCTGTTTGTGTATTAGCCCAACGCATTTGCAGATGTTTTGTGAACAACTCACCTCCTCCCACGACAAATGCTTCGGCAGGTGCACCAAGTGCTTCTCCTGGTAAACGGCATACTCCCTCAGTACGCCCGCACCATTCGCACCGATAGCCACCGAGATGCTGTCATCCGTGGGATGAAAGTCGCCTTGGTTGCAAATCGGAGCAACAATATCTCCCACTTTGAAGTTTTTGACTGCAGAGCCTAAACCGACGACCTCGGCGGAGGCATCAGAGCATGGGATGCCTTGTTCCGTGACAGCAGGCGGGTACTCGGCTACCAACATAGCGACATCACGGTAGTTGAGCGATACAGCGTGGATCTTGATGACCACATCGTTGGGGCCGAGGTCTTTTTCTTGCGGCAGATTTTCTTGGCTTTGCTCAAGGGTGAGAGGGTTTTGACGAGAGGCCTTCTCTTGACCGGCGCTGCGACGGTAGGCCGTGTAGGTAGATGGATAGGTCATGACGGTCGTTGGATTGGGAAAATGTGCTTTGGACGATTGCGCGAATAGACCTGATGAATTGAATGTCGGTGTCGCACGACTTCGCGGTCGATAAATAAGAAAAGTTGCGCCTCTTCCCACAAGCAATGTGTAGTTGCTGATCAATCATGGTGGGCTGCTCGATTCGTCCGATGGAGTTCAGATGTTCGTCATTTCTGCAGGGTGTCGCTAGGTGCGATCCAAATTGGAACGTCGCGACGTGGAAGGAACGCTACCATCAAGCGCGAAGGCGCTCGACCATCGAGACTGCGAACCCAGCCTCCAAAATCTGCAAACATTTAATCGGGCCTTTCGATTCCAAGACAGAACGCGACATCCACGACCTGCAACATCACTATGTTCTGGCCATGCGGATCTAGCTTTGGTTCAAGGCGGGGCCAACGGAGTGGAACTTCACTCCGCTTCCGATCTCTTTAGTCAGCCTCAACAGCCTTCCACTCACGAAGGCCGATCCATGCGCCCTCTTTTTGACATCGCATACCATCAACAATCTTCCTTTGCAACAAATTAGCGGCTGCGTAAATTTGCGACCCAGCGCGTCTCCTTGTCGAAGCTGCGTCGTTCCTCGCCCTCCAGGCCACTTAGCCCGAATTCTCGCAAGTCTCTGATTATCTCGACAGCCTTACTGAAACCCTCATTCGACGCATAGCCCTCATCAGTCAAAACACCTTGTAGCTCTTTCCAGAGTTCCTGGCTCTTGTTGAAAGACCCCGCCTCTTCGTCGTGTTGCTGTATCTCCTCTGCTGAGAAATGGTACGTACATGGTTCGTTTGTACCAAAGTGGCTCCACTCACTGCGACAATGGTCAGCCAGAGAACTCAAGGGCAAACAGATTAACGCACCTCTCAACGCGAATCAAACATTCTTCAAGGGGAAAGAGACAGTTGTCCCAGGTAGAGCCAACAAAAGCTTCTAATTGTTTGAGGGTCTGGCCATGGGGATGATGCATAACCTTGTACATCAGAGGGTTTTTCTCCACCGTAGACTCTTCATACGTGTGAATTAAGATAGACTGAGACACTTGGTATTTGAGCTTATCTTGTGTAGTATCGTCGAGTGCTTTGAAGTTTTCAGGGAGCTTCATCAACATGTCAATCCCATAGTCTAGAAGCAATGGGGGATTGGCACCGATGAACACCGGGGTAGCCCAGGCTCCCTGCCAATCAATGATGCACGATATTCGGTCTTGGTCGTCGATATAGACGTTGCCAGCATGGAAGTCTGGGTGCCAAAGTCTGGGAGAGACGAGCTCTGGGTCCTTGGGAGTGATATACGGAATTGCAGCTAAGAACTTCTCTAACAGGACTGTGTGAGCCTCTGGGGACTTCAGCTGTGGACTCGTGTACTGCCATGGAATTTCACTCGGCTGCTGTGGGTTCGCATGGGTATTAATCCATTCGATCTCACGGCGAGCGACAGACTTTAGGTATTCTGCAGAAGATGTCCCTACAATTATTGTAAGTCTAGATTCGAGTTTCACAGGTATCCACAAACTTACAGGGACCGTGACATTGCATATCACTGCGTTGTTTCTCCCAAAATTCCTTTCGAGTGATGGGTCCAATGCAATAAGTTGATTCGATGTGACCGACGACATCTTGTGGGCCACTTGTAACGATAGCCGGCTCGCATCCTGCAATACCACTATCTTTAAGATACAATGATCCCAATCTGACAGTGTGTGTAAGTTGGACTGGCCGCAAATTCTCTGTTGGAGCAAGTTGGATCTTACCTTTCAAAGGAGACCGAGAGCAGTTTCCTTTCAATGTCTACAAACTCACGAATGATGTCACCTTTCCTCCGCAGTGGGAGATCCTGCCAAACTTCGTGGAGTGGGGAGCCACTCGCTTCTTCCATGATGATATATTCTGCTTGGACAGGATTTTGATCGCTAGCACTCCAAGCGAGGACTCGTGGGACGGGTAAGTTCAAAACAGTCCGGGCAAACTCCATAGTTGCCACTTCCGATGCCGTGGTATGGCCTCGTGGGCCAGCGTTAGGGTGTGGGACTTTTGCGATGATCTTTTGGCCGTCTTCCATCTGAAGACGATAAGCCTTGTTGTAGTTGCCTTCGCCGATCTTCTTGAAAGATATACACTTGCTTGCACCGACGGCTTGGCAAGCCGCTTGCTGAAGACTGGACACATCAAAGCGTCGGTACCGGGCTTCCAGTTGCTCGCACTCATTCCATAGCCATCGTCCGCTCGTGTAGCAGAACAAGGGGTTTGTGTCCATTTGACGATGTGAGGGCATCGCGCGGCTACCCTCCAAAGTGTGTAGTAAGCGAGGGTAGTGCCGCTTTGCGATATTTGACCAGCTTCGACCAAGCGCCATTGCTAGAAACCTGCAGAAAGGCTGTGATGTAAATAATGAGACTAAGTTTATGATGAGACTATGAGACGCGCCGCCAAGCCTACAGCCTTTGTGGGCTTCTCAAGTGGCATACTACTGGCGCTGAGCCTGCTTTTCTGCGAGTGTTGTTTGTCGTGATGGACGAGCGTGGAGACGGGGACATTGCTGTATGCAGATCAAGTGACGTATGTACCAGGCGCGTAAGTATCAGGCACGCATGCAAATAGAGCTTGCATCAGCGCTGGGCTGGCTGATTTCATATTGACGGGTGTGGTGGGAGGGTGAGCTCGGGCAAGAAGCCAGCAACCGCCGCGACGCGTGTTCGGAGAAGCTTCGGGACGCATGCGCCACAGCTTGAGCTTTCTCGGCGTATTGACTCGCTGCTGCTTCCAACGCCACAGACGGAATTCCAGAAAACACCGTCGCAATTCTTATCATTGAAATTTTACTAAAGTAATCCAGAGTTAAGCACGATGCAACCTAAGTATTAGCAGACATCACTTTCGCAGAAAAGAGTCCGAAGATATGCGACGATCATTATGTTCTCATTTCCATCGATCTAAATAAGTACTGCCGGTACTTGTATTACTTACTTCAAAGTACGCCGCCGCCGTCATGACTTTTAAATCTAAATGTTAGTATGAATCATGAAGATACAAAACCTCGACCGCAACTCCGCGCTAGTGTTACAACCATGAAAGGAATCAAATCGCCAACTCGTCAGATCATCTCATCGCAAACACCGTACTCAGCCACGACAGGCTTACGGACCGCCCCACCAGCCACCGCTCCCATCCTCAACAAATAACTCTCCTCACCCAGTATCTCCGACAACTCCACATCGCCCTCTGCCAAACCCTGAACCGCCCGAACCAAATCCTTCTCGACAAAGTTCTGGAAACGGTCGCGAGCAGTGTCTACACCAGGACGGTGGAAGAAGAACTTGACCGCGGTGCCAAAGGCATACCATTGATCAACCATGAACAGCATGGCTTCTTCTAGTTTACGGTCCTCGTAGACGTCCTGGAGACATGGGCGGAGGAGCGAGCGGATACAGAGATGAATTTCTTGGAGTGGGTTGGCGCCTTGGTTTTGGAAGTTGAGGAGTATGTCGTGGAGGGCTGAGGGAGGGAGGTCTTCGAGAGAAAGGTAGATACGAACTACGTGAATGTCGCCGTCTAGAATGGTGGTGGGATCTTGGATCTTCTTGGTCGTCTGCTTGCCTGTCGCGTCGGTGGCGACAGAGGCGAAGACGAGGCCGGTGGGCGGGGATACGGCGGGCAGCTTTTGGACTGCTGGGGCGGCGGTGGGACTGGGGAGTTTTGCGCCTAGCGATAGAGAACTTGAACCAAACATGGGTGACGTCGGGGATTTGTTTGAGAAGGCAGGCGCAGGAGGACCCATACCACCCTGCAGGGCAGGGCCGAAGCCCCAGGTCGGGGAAATGTTTGTGTTAGTAGTAGTAGTAGTAGTAGTGGAAGCGCCAAAGCCGAAGCGCGGCGGAGTAAGAAAAGATGGCATTCTGTTGGTTAGTAGAGTCGATGGTCCTGTAGTTGAGGGTGTTGCAAGTGTTGCGATTGCTGATGTTGAAACTGTTTGTCGCAGGGTGTGGGGGACCACGCAGTTTTATAGTCACAGGGCGGGGACGCGCACAGACAATGTGCGTTCGCGAAAAGTGGTGAAAAGGCGAGAGTGAGTGAGTCAAGAGAGCGAGATCGGCGTTGTGGTAGAGGACCTATGCATCATCGCCATCCCATGGTACTGCGATGACCCAGAGGCGACCCAGAGACGACGAGCCAACCACACCTCCCGCATTCCATACAACTCATACGCGAGGAGATACTCTACAAAAGAGAGAAGTATCGCATCTCCAAGAACCTAGAGGACCTATGGTAGCGATGATCGCGACCAAAGCATCACGGTAAGTGAGCGAATCATCAGTCTTAACTTGGGAAGATGGATTAGGCTGCACACTCAGCTGCAAGATCAACGGAGAGTAAAGCAACGATAGTAGAAGATCCCTGTACTTGATTCGTGTAGAAAGAGAGTATGTACAGAAAGAATGGTAGTGAAATGAGTGTAAGTCCCATCGCCAATCCCAGGGCATTCCAAGCACCCATGAGCTCTTCAAAAGTCCCAAATCCCACATTCCGCCTATCCCATCAAATCCAATCAACAAGCGGCGATATCCGCGGGTGTGTAGATACAAGCCGAGCTAGGCCCCTCGCTGATCTGCTTAGGCTCAGCACCCGTATCGTTACCCTCGAACTCCTCGCAAATAGCCTTTGTGCCCGTGACGCAGGAGTTGGTAATGGTAGCAGTATCTCCGTAGTTGCTGTTGATACCAACGAAAGTCGCTGTTCCGCCTGTAGCCTTGACTTTGTCGATCTTGACGTGGCGCTCGCCCATGGTCTTGCAGTTTCCGCATGATCGATAGAGCTTGCCAAAGGTTGAGACTGTGAAGCCTGAGATTGAAATGGTACCCGCGCCGTTGTGTTGGATGACTTTGTCGGATGCGCCCATTGCTCCGCCACCGGTGACTGTGCCGTCGCCGTCCTTCTTGAAGGTGAGAGCATCTTCACAGACATCTTCCCACCAGACATTCTCGATGGTACAGGCTCCTTGGCAGTGTACTCCCTCGATCTGGTCGGCTCCGATGATGACGTTGCGGAGAGTGCCGCCGTTAGCAATAGAGAATACAGCATCGCTGTCTCCTCCCTCTGATTGACCGGTGCAAGACACTCCACGACCGAAACGCTTCATGCCACCATCGAATTCGCCGGTTACCATCATTGTCTTGGAGAGAGTAGACTCGCCAGCTGCTGCGGGCATGGTACCGCTTGCTGCACTACCGCCTGAGCTAGGCATAGTGGAGTTGCCTGATCCAGTCTGAGTTCCCGAACCGGAGGAAGATCCACCACCTGAAGAAGAGCCACTGCCTGAGGATGAACCACCACCTGAAGACGAGCCACTTCCCGAAGATGAGTCGCTGCCCGAAGATGAGTCGCTTCCTGAAGACGAGTCGCTGTCTGAGGAAGAGTCGCTTCCTGAGGATGATCCGCTGCTGGAGTCCGAATCTGATCCCGAACTGGAACCGCCATCTCCGCCAGAGCTTGAACCAGAGTCGCCAGCCGCATCCTCAGTGCTCTCTCCAGTGCTGTCGCTAGCGTCACTGGAGGACTTGTCCTTGCCACTGGAAGAACCCTCACTGCTGTCAGAAGAGTCAGAAGAGCCAGAAGAGCCAGAAGAGCCCTTCGACTTGTCTTTCTTGTCATCCTTGGCGTCGGAAGCACCGTCCTTGGAGTCAGATGAATCACCTGCAGAGTCCTTGGAATCCGACGTGTCCTTAGATTCATCATCGCTCGCTCTCCAAACCAAACCGAAGGGTGAACGCTTCGTAACAGTAGGTTCGGACTCAACAGATCTCCGCTCATAGTCGTTGCCGGGGGTAAAAGTAGGAGCACCCGTCATCTGAGGGTCGGACGGCTGACCGCCAAAGCCTGGGAAGCCGCCAGTGGGAGCAGCACCACCCCCAGGGAAGTAACCGGGGTCACCGCCATTGCGTTGGCCACGTCCTGGACCACCACCCATACCCATTCCCGAGCCGATGGAATCAGGGCCAGAGCCGGCGGATTCGGTGCCGTTGCGTTGACCGCCGCCGTGTTTGCCGCGATGACCACCACGATGGCCATGAGCCTTTGTAGGAGCGGGTCCTCGAGCTGAAAGTTCCGTCGGTTTAGCTGGGGCGGGAGCAGGTGCCGCGGAGACAGAGACGATCAGGGCCGCAGCCGCGATGGTAGTCAGAGAGAAACGCATGTTTTGTTGGTTTTCCGGGTAATGCGAAGTGAACGTATGGGAACGAAGGTATTGCACAGCAAAGATGACACAGTCAAGAAAAGAAGGGTGACCGGCACTGAGCTGGAGAAGAGAATGTGGAAAAGGGAAGGTGTTGGAAGCAAGGAAGAGATCGTTGGTCCTGATGAGGATGAGGATTTTGCAGTGGGCGAGTTGCCGACGTCTTTATAGCCATTGTGTTAGGATTGCGTACAGTTGCTTTACTGAACATGCGTGTCGGTGGTATACGACGACGTCCCACACCACCCGCACCCCAAACCTCCAAGCGCGTCATGCCTATCGTCGGTTATACCACGGGTACTATGCACTCAATGCGATGACTGAGTAGGCCCGAACACACGTGCAGTCGTGAATCGAGGGAACGTGGAAACAGGCCTGGTATCCTGGAAAAAGACTGTGTTTGGTTTGCGCGTCCCGTTGACGAAACCGATCGTCCGACAGCTGACAATCTATGAGAGGGATGTGTCAGGTTTCATGTTGAGGATGTCGGTCTTGGCAGCAGTGACAGCCATGTAGGGTGAAGCTACTAGTGAAGATGCAGAAACGTCCCGCTTGTCAGGGTAGTCTAGAAGTTCCGGAAGTCTGGAGTTTCGTGTCGCGCGTTTCACTTACTCGACGGAACGAATGCAGGTTGGATGGACTGACCACCAAGAATGTAGTGTTCGCTATCATGCAGCGCAATACAAATTAATAAAATAAGTGACATTAGCGAGGTCTGCATCGCCTACATTCGCGCTGCTTCCTTAGGGTCTGGCATTGTCCCTATAACGATCTCGCTTTCCCAACCCAATCTTTGCGAATATCTTCCAATCTAAGGAACCGAGTGCGCGGTATATGCGAGGTGGCTCGGGCTCTCCAGTACTATCTACCACAGTGGCCAAGTTGTCTTTCATGTACACTCGAAGTTCGTCTTTGAGACGCGAGGGTGTAAGCCGTGAGTGGTATATCGTGCTCAGGCCTTGAGCCTGCATGCGTGGGATATGTCCATCTAGTCGGTTAGCACTGTGTATATGTGGATTGCATGTTTCGATCTGCAAGATGTGCACTGGTCTTGAGGACGGGCGGTTTGAAACTCCAAAGCGTTCCCACAAGTCGATCAGCTGGAATGGCTCGACAGCATAACCAGTAGCGAATCGTAGCTTCAGGGCCAGCTCAACATCCATAGCGTGTTCACCGGCGTTACCGGTTCCGATCATGGTTCTCGGGGTAGCGTCACCTCCGAGGACTCTCAGAAGGCGGTTCATCCATTCGTTCACGACACGCGAGGAGCGTCCAAACTCTTCAAACTCGAGCTCGCCGTTCCTGACTTTTGGCTTTGACTTCCATTTGATACGCACCATGGCATGCTGATTTTGTCCGGTATCTCTGTTGTGACACAATGCCCAATGTAACCCAGCGGCGTATACTTTGCAGTACTCGAGGACGGATCCGGGAATCCGGTTGTCAGCATCAATGAAGCCGACGAACTTACGTCCAACAAGCTTCGTGATGATCACACCGAGTATCATAGCCTCTCCTTTTCCGTTGTTCATGCGTGGAACATGTGTTTTCCCCTCAGGCGTACTTGTTCCTGAGTGTTGCAACAGCTCTGGCATTCCGGCTTCCTTGAAGGCGCGGGCGAAGGTTGACTCACCTTGATGATGTACCATAACACATCGACTTGCAACCTTTCCGAATTTGAGCAGCGACTCGCACTCCGCCTTATAGTTTGTCTGGTTGCTGTTCGAGATGAAGATGACAGAACAATGATGTGGAATACCACGAAGAAGGCCTTCGAGAACTGTGATATCTTCATCCATGCAGGGAACTACGATTGCAAGATTGCGCTCGATGCTTTCGATTGAATTTGGAGTGATGACAATGTTCTCCTGATCGACAGAGGTGTTAGCCGTGCCATCACCCGATGTGTCTTGACCGCCTGCGTCCAGTTCCGAGACAGAAGACATCTCGCGTAGCTGCACGTTCCCGACCCGGGTGATTTCTGGGCGGATGCTCAATCTCATGATGAAGATAAGCTGATTATCGAAGTGGACTCAGTCTTGCAGCGGTTCTGATAATGGAGTAAGGGTGTATGAGGAATCAAAACGTGTATACTCACATAGGTCTTATAAAGAGATTCTTGCGGTCTGCTCGATGCTGCTCTTGACTGCATTGTTAGGCGCAATGATAGAACGTTTGACTCTATGTGATCGACGAACTATTCATAGCTATCAGTACAATCTTTCGTGCGGAGCTAATTGCAGTGTGAATCCGAGGAAGGCTAGGATTTGATAGCCGATGTCGGCGTATGTCAATGTTGCTAGACACGCTGTAGCAGAGGTGGGTCCAGGATAACGTTGCATTGTGTCGGGCTCTGCAGCGATTCGACCATTGAGTATATCGGGTACTGAGGGTGGCGGTGCTTGTTTGGCACTGACGCGTTGTTGACATTGTCAAGTGCCGCAATTGACAATCACAGTACTGGTGACCCTTCCTCATGAAAATGTCCCTTTACCGGGAAAATGGAGTGGATGAATTGGATCGGTTACGTTGCGGTGATGATGCATTGCATGTAGCCAGTGTATGAAACGATGGATGTCTTTCTCTCAAGCGAGTCTTTCCACGTCAAACACGACCGGCCGTGGTTGCTCTCGGAGGATACTTTGAACTGCGATCAATACCCCGAAGAGTTCTCGCAGTCCCTTTGAGTGCTCCTGTCTCTATAAATGTGTATTCACGCGCCGTCGCGCCCTCCCACAATGGATGCGGCATGGTGGTGTCGTTTCGTATGACGCGCTGTCGGTACCGTCGCGGCGCGCGCGTTGCTCAATGAGGCAGACAGATGACATCTCAACACTAGAGGCTCATCCGGTCTTCTGCGAGGCTGGGGGCGACTGCATTGGGCGAGGGCTAGTGTTGGCGCGAGTGGTGTTGTTAGTGGGAGGCAGCTTCACCGGCGAAGTTTGTCGAGTGGAAGCTCGGCTATCCGCTGGAGCTCTGGCCTCGCCCGAACGCCTCCATGACGTCTGCAGCTGGTGACACCAGAAGCGCTATGCGGACCCGGAGACTGAGAGCTTTCCCCGCGTTTGCGATGCTTTTGTACTATTTCTTGGATCCTTCTTAAGTCGTCATTTCCCCGGATTACCCTGCGATGGCTTCCAACGATAATCCCGACAAGATGAGCTACATCTACAACTCGCAGCTCGTGAGCGCCCCTGACATGTGAAGATGGACACTGGCTGACATTGATCGTTAGGATGCCTTCACCCTTTACCATATCTCGCACGAAAAGGAAGAACACAGCTCGGTCGGCCCTGTACTCCCCGCCCTCGGCCATGCTTCGTCTGGCGCTCTAGGAACCGTTGTGTCGAAACTCTTAACATACCCTCTCGATGTCGTTATCACGCGCCTTCAGGTTCAGCGGCAACTACACCACGGCGACGCGCACCCGCACTACAATGGCTTCCTCGACGCCGTCGAGAAGATATACGAGAGGGAGGGCGGACCAAAGGCCTTCTACAGCGGCATAGTGCCCGAGGTTGTGAAGGGTGTTGCCGACAGCTTCCTCTTCTTCCTAGCTTACTCATATGCGCGACAGAAGAGGCTCGAAGCGCGAGGTACTGGACACAGCTTGCCGGCGCTCGAAGAGATCGGCGTCGGCGTTGTCGCAGGCGCCTTCTCCAAGTTCTTCACCACGCCTATCCAGCAGATTGTCACGCGGAAGCAGACGGCGGCGATGATGCGACAAGAGTCGTCGACTACCATACCTCCTCTGTCTAGTACCAGGGACATAGCACACGAGATCCTGCGCGAGAAGGGCATACAAGGCTTCTGGTCTGGCTACTCTGCCAGCTTGATCCTGACCCTGAACCCTTCCATCACTATGCTTCTGCACAAGGCTCTCCTACGATTGGTCGTACCCAGGGCAAATCGAGACGACCCCGGCGCGCGCATGACGTTCCTTCTCGCCGCCATAAGTAAGGTCCTTGCCTCTACCGCTACCTACCCGTTCTCACTCGCAAAGACGCGCGCCCAAGTGTCCTCACAGAAGCCCTCTTCCGGCATTGGTGAGACTTCCGACAAAGAGAAGTCAGACGAACCGATCGAGTCGAGAGCACTACAAGCTAGGCAGCGAACTGTGTTCAGTACCATCTTGCGCATCGCCCAGACCGAAGGAATCTGGGGCTTATACCAGGGTCTCGGGGCGGAAGTGCTCAAGGGCTTTTTCTCTCACGGCATCACGATGTTGATGAAGGACCGCATCCATGCTGTCATCATCAGCCTATACTACACTGTGCAGGGGGCGTTGAAGAAATACCCCAGCCCAAGTGAAGTCGCAAAGTCGGCGTCGGACAGCGTTCAGAGCGCTTATGAGCAAGGCAAGGAGCAGGCTAGCGATGCGTATGCGAAGGGCGCCGAAGTCGTCGGCAGTGCAACAGAATCGGCAAAGCATGCCGTTTCCCAGGGCTCACAGCAGGCGCAAGACCTTGTTGAGAAGGGCAGAGATGCTGTTAGCGAGGCCGCAAGCAGCGCCTACGACCAGGGCAAGAACGTGCTAGACAAAGGACAGGATGCGGCCACCAATGCCACTCAGCAAACTGGTGAAGCGCTTGAGCATGGCAAGAGGGCCGCAAGCGAGGCATCGCAGCAGGCCAAAGACGCTGTTCTGGACGCCGACATCAAGGACATCAATGGCCCTGACAAGGGCATCAAAGAGTGAGCCATGCAGCAGGTGATTTTTTCAACGCCTTCAGATTGTACATATACCCGATTGATTTTGTATCTCTTTGTTTAAAGGCATGTCTGTGGATGGAGTATGTATTCTTTGGTATGGTTCGGCGTCAAAAGCGTGCCTGACTTTCGTAATGCATAATGAGCAAATAATTGCCGGGTGAACTGTCCATCTACCTTGGGCGATCTGAAACGTCAGGGTGTCAGTATCCACTGCCACGCTTCGAGTAGCTGGTATGTCCATGTACCTAGGTACCGGACGCAAGCGTTCCAATGAGATTGAGCCTGTGTCCAAAGTAACTGCAATGGAAATCGTGTTCACGCCAGAATAGTACCAGCGCGTCGAGTGGAAGCAGGATTTTCCAGCCTTGCGGGCTTTGTTGTCTCTGCTGCGCTGGCTATTGTGGGGATGGCTGGTCACGGTACGTCGCATGTGTCATGCCGGTGGCTGGTTGCAGCGGTTGCCCTGGAGGCCAATGCGCTAACCATCTGGCTCCGCCCGCAGCGCCTCCATCATCAACAACCACGCCTGGCGACACATTCGACTGCATGCCGCAGTTGAGCGGCGACTAACTACTAACCTGCACAGGAACAGGGCAACTATTGTTTGCGCGACATTGCGAGCGCGAAGAACCGACTCGAAGTTTCCGATAGTCGGCGGCGCATGACTGGCGACACTCACAGCACGGCCATTCGACAAAAGCGGAATCGTCAACATCCCGGATACCAAGAGGGCAGCCGCAACCCACGCGCACACCACCAGCTGCGGCTTTCTATGTCGTAGACGCCGGTGACGACATAGACCGCGACTGAGCCGCTGTGTGTTGACGTCTCGTCACTGCACCCCGCCCAGCTCATTCCCCTGATCACCGCACGCTGTTGGCAGTCGCAGCCCAACCCCCACCGCCATCATGACGACCACCGGAGCGCAGTCTTCGCCGAGCCGGGGAGGATGGAGCAGCATCGAGGAGGAGCTGGCTTACTACAAGTCTCAGTACGAGACGCTGGAGATGGAGCTGCAGGAGTTTCAGGCATCAAGCAAGGAACTCGAGGCCGAGCTCGAGCGCGACGTCGAGGAGAGCGAGAAGCGGGAGCGCAAGCTGCAGGAAAAGGCAGAGAAGCTGGGGTTTGAGGTTGAGGAATGGAAAGTGCGTGGTCTCCGACACAGTTGCGGCGCATGTATGCCCAACAGACAGTCACTAACAAGACACCACAGACAAAGTATAAGCAGAGCAAGGCCGAGGCCAACAATGCGCAGAACACCCTCCAGAAAGAGATCACCACGATGCGCGAAAGCCAGCGCGCCCTCCAGATGCGACTCCGCGACATCGAAGTACAAAGCGACGATTTCGAGCGCCAGGCACGCCACCAGACATCATCACTCGAGGATGTGGAATCCAAGTACAACGTGGCTATCGAGCGCAGCGTCATGCTGGAAGAAGAGATCAAGATCGGAGAGCAGGAGCGAGAAGCACTGCGGATAGAAACACAGCGCCTTAGGGACGAGCTGTCAGACCTGCGGGTAGAGGCGGAAATCACGCAGGAGAAGTTGCGCATCGCAGAGGAGACGATTGAGAACCACCACGTGCGTAAGGTATCCAACCATCTCTCGGGCGATGCCCTGAGGCCACGCTCGCCGGTCTCCGAGGCATCGACCACAGCAACCACCGTCTCCTCGCCCACAGCTGCTTCGACCCCACCACACTCGAAAGCAGATGGCCTACACACGGACGCGACTCCTCCTTCGCCACCGCTGTCCGACGCACCGATCACGACTAGATACGTACCCTCGACGCCCATGCCCAAGCGAAAGAACTCGTATGCGCCGCTGGACCCAGGTGCAACCCCTCGCGCCGGCTTGTACCAGCGAGTCCCAAGGCATTCACGAGGGCCCAGCATGTCAGCATCGCGGCCAAGTACAAGTGCCAGTGGTCGGGCGACGCCCTCTATACGAACGACTGCACCCGCATCGCGAGCGCCTAGACCGAGCTTTGGAAGTGCTGCACCGCCGCCAAGCTTGCCTAGGTCAGGCTCGCTCGTTCAGGTTCGAGGGCTGATTGGTAAGATGCAGAAGCTCGAAGAACGGGTACACGCAGCGCGATCCAAGCTCCCTGCGCCAACTACGACCCCACCGCGAGCCAGCCCCCGAAACGGCAGTGCCATGGGACACCACGTGCCAAGCACTGTTACATTGAGGAGCGGCAGAAAGCGCAGCTCCCACGCATCAGCGGGCTCGTCAGTCCCTGGCGCCTACGAGTCGGGTGTAAGCCGGCTGTCATTCGGCATGTCGACCTCGTCGCGCGAGCCCACCAGCAGCAGACCTGCCAGCCGAGCATCCATGTCGTCGCAGTCAGCAATACAGCGGCCGGCAAGCAGAAGCAGCACCCGAACGCCACTCGGACATTATTCGTCTTCGTCCATCAGCGGAACGGAGCCCCGGATGCCAAGGCCAAGGAGCTCTATGAGCGGTCATGGCCATTCGCATTCGCTCTCAATGTCGCGGCGGGATACAGACGCCAACAGCGACGGAAGCGGCGTCTCAACACCAATGGGCAGGCGACTTACACTGGAGAAGACAGGCATACCTACACCAAGCGGGATCCCAAGGCGTCAGAGTGCAGGACGCAGGGCAAGCAACAACATGGACAACGGAGACATGGCGCCTCCTGCTCGGCCACGAAAGATGTCGACGCAGGCGGAAGAAGAATCATACTAGGAAGGAACGGCGCATTGGTAGGAAGTTAAAGGACCCGCAGAACCACGTGTGTGTACCTCTGGATCGATCAATCTCTGGTGCATGATTTTCACGGCACTATACCTCATGCATTCTGGAGTCGGGTTTGCGATGCATATGTGCTAGAGTTTGGGAAATGGGACACGGACGGGGTGTTTGGTGCAGGTTGGTCAGGCATGGTTGCACATAGGGAGGATGAAGAAGAAACTCGAGAGGTGCCCAGCTCCTTTGAGGGCAGTTACATATTACTTTTACATTCAGATTTCTTTTGTTCGAAACCAATATACCCCGAATTCCATTCACCGCTAGGCTCGCCGTTGCTTCTGTGCACATAAGCTCTTCTGTTTGTTTCACATCTTAATCTCGAGATACTAATACTATTACTACAGAACTCACGTGCTCTCCTTACTTCAAACGGAGTAGACTGCTCGTTCTGGACGAAAATCTGGGGTAAAGTTGCATGCATGCGCAGCCGCATTGGCGTTGGTGGTCGCGTAGTCGAAAATCGTACGATTCTGATGTCAAACGGCGGCCTGTCCCGCCGCGTTGACCCAAGCAGGAACCAGCACCAGCTACTCGCGCAAGACCCTGGATCTTCGGAACGCGCCTTCGGAATCTAGCTTGCTTTATCTGGATAGGCATCCTGGCTTGCTTTATCTCGCAGATGTCGCTACCAAGCTTGCAGTCGTTACTGTAAAGATGCGGGCGGCAGTACTACGGGGCTTTGGCCGGCTGCCCTGCGGCGGTACCTGAGCACAACGTTTGCGACCTATGCTTACGCGGGACATGTTTTCTTTATTACTTCTACCCGGCTTCTCACGCCGTCGTAGACTACTAGACTGCTGTATGGAAGCCGGTACTTTTTTGTTTCAGCGTCATCTACGGTGTGCTAAATTGAGAGTGTGCTTGATGTTTGTTCCGAGAGCGGCCGCTTTGGGCGCTGATTGGGTGGCTGCGATCGGAGTCCGGTGGGAGATGTCGGGGGAGGAGACCCGAGCATTACTCTTGATGTTGCTCTGGCGTGGTTTGGCAATTGTGAGACGGGTGTTTGGTTATTTTGGGAGATGGGTGTATGGTGGTGTGAGAGGGCTTAGTGGGGTGGGGAGGCGGCGGTGGTGAAGAGGTGAGATGGGAGATGTTGAGACGATATAGGTGGGCAGCTACGTGTTGGGAGAGGGGTAAAGTTTGAAGTGGCGGTGATAGCTATCAACTCAACCCTGAACAGCCAGCGGATCAACGGCAGACGGGAGGCTTGACCAGCTGTTGGTGAGAGATAGCCAGGGCTCAACACATGGGCATGCAGGTACTCGTGCTCGGGTTGGGTCTCGCAACAAGCAACTAATGCGGAAATGCTCCCAACAGACCTAGAACAGATACCGCCATGGCGAGCAAACTCTCAACATGCTGTACCCATCGATCGTGAAAAAACGCGTCAATCTTGACTTGATCCAGATAGCTGGCTAGTCAGTCAGCGTAGCTAAGTAGTGAATTGGCCCGTAGACCAGCCGTCGTGTGTACATAATCGGGTTCCGAAGGGCTTCCGAGTCGTCTACCGTGGCTTCGAGAGGGATGGACAGGGGCGTTATGGGGGACGTGGTGCAGGGCCTTGCCGTCTTCGGCATCGCTGGCGATGCGATAGCTCAACAGTGCTTCGGGAAGTGCATTGGGGTGTTCCGCTATGGCTCTAAAAATTTAATACATACGTGAGCTGCTCCCGGACGCTTGCGACCATTTCCCCTCGTCTTGCTCTGCTGTATTACCTCCCTCCCACATACTGTATACCTCATTCATTGTGCTGTACTTCTCCTCGTACGCACTACTAGTCCCTCTTTCGCTCAACTCCACGCGTTCGTTGTTGGTGCTTCCTCCCGGCGCCGCATAGAATTCCTGGCATTGAAGATTGCTTTTGGGCTCTTCCACACCGACACTACGACTGTCCTCTACTAATAGTCTGCTCGGGCCCTCCCACCGACAGAATCGTTAGAGACGCACACGTCGATTGCAGAGCATCGTCGTTTTCGGGTCAATCAGATCTACATTCGACACTAGAGGCCGAGCTCCAGCTTGCCCTTACCAGTGGAAAATTGACCGGACCCTCACCGAACCGCAACCCAACTTCGCCTTCGCTCCTTCCTCCCCACATCCCAATTCCTCGGTGCATGGGATTGCCTTCACACATTATGGCCGGAGCTGCACAGAACGGAGTCAACGGGGATGCTAATGGCGCCCCGAGCTCCTACGCCGCCAAGTTCGATCTTGCTCCGCACTTCATCGGCGGGAACAACCTCAAGGTAGCGTCGCCGGGCAAAGTCAAGGACTTTGTGGCGGCGCACGACGGACACACGGTCATTACCAATGTGAGCGAAACTCTGCAGAGGAAAGTGGTGGTGTTGAGAACGCACGCGCTGACCAGTGGCTTCCCCGCAGGTGCTCATTGCAAACAACGGTATCGCCGCAGTCAAGGAAATCCGCTCGGTGCGGAAATGGGCGTACGAGACATTCGGCGATGAGCGGGCAATCCAGTTCACCGTCATGGCGACGCCCGAGGATCTGCAGGCCAACGCTGAGTACATCCGCATGGCAGACCAATACGTCGAGGTACGTGCTCCCCCAGACAGCGGCGACGAGCGATGCGTGGCTAACGGCGACTATGCAGGTACCCGGCGGTACCAACAACAACAACTACGCCAACGTCGAGCTAATTGTCGATGTGGCCGAGCGCATGAACGTGCACGCCGTCTGGGCCGGATGGTGCGTATACAGCCCAACGAATGTCGGATGAGGGCTCATGGCTGACTTTTTGCGTCTAGGGGACACGCCTCGGAGAACCCCAAGCTGCCCGAATCGCTCGCCGCCTCGCCCAAGAAGATTGTCTTCATCGGCCCTCCCGGGTCTGCCATGCGCTCGCTCGGTGACAAGATCTCGTCCACAATCGTCGCACAACACGCCAAGGTGCCGTGTATCCCCTGGTCGGGAACCGGCGTCGACGAGGTCCAGGTCGACCAGCACGGCATCGTCACGGTCGAGGACCACGTCTACGACAAGGGCTGCACAAAGTCATGGGAAGAGGGTCTGGAGAAGGCCAAGGCCATTGGCTTCCCCGTCATGGTCAAGGCCTCGGAGGGCGGTGGCGGCAAGGGTATCCGGAAGGTCGAGCGCGAGGAGGACTTTGAGCAGCTGTACAAGGCGGCTGCCTCTGAAATCCCCGGATCTCCCATCTTCATCATGAAGCTTGCGGGCAGCGCACGCCACTTGGAAGTCCAGCTGCTGGCTGACCAGTACGGCAACAACATCTCCCTGTTCGGACGTGACTGTTCGGTGCAGCGACGTCACCAGAAGATCATTGAGGAGGCACCGGTAACAGTTGCTGGCTCAAAGACCTTCCAGGAGATGGAGAAGGCTGCCGTCTCGCTCGGACGCCTCGTCGGATACGTCTCTGCAGGTACCGTCGAGTACCTCTATTCGCACTCGGATGACAAGTTCTACTTCCTCGAGCTGAACCCCCGTCTCCAGGTCGAGCATCCTACCACGGAAATGGTAACGGGCGTGAACCTCCCAGCCGCCCAGCTCCAAATTGCCATGGGTCTCCCATTGCACCGTGTTCGTGACATCCGTCTCCTGTACGGTGCCGACCCGCACGCCAGCTCTACCATCGACTTTGACTTCTCCAGCGAAGGCAGTGCCAAGAGCCAGCGTCGCCCCACTCCCAAGGGCCACTGCACGGCTTGCCGTATCACCTCCGAGGATCCTGACGAGGGCTTCAAGCCTTCCGGTGGTACTATCCACGACCTCAACTTCAGGAGTAGCTCCAACGTCTGGGGTTACTTCTCCGTCAGCTCCGCTGGTGGTATCCACAGCTTCTCCGACTCGCAATTCGGTCACATCTTCGCTTATGGCGAGAACCGACAGGCCTCGCGGAAGCATATGGTTGTTGCGCTCAAGGAATTGAGCATTCGTGGTGACTTCCGCACGACTGTCGAGTATCTCATCAAGCTGCTTGAGACTCCTGCTTTCGAGGACAACACCATTACCACTGGCTGGCTCGACGAGCTCATCTCCAAGAAGCTGACTGCTGAGCGTCCTGACACCATGATCGCAGTCATTTGCGGTGCCGTTACCAAGGCACATGTCGCAAGTGAAGCGTGCGTCAACGAGTACAAGACCAGCTTGGAGAAGGGTCAGGTGCCCTCCAAGGACGTCTTGAAGACGGTCTTCCCTGTCGACTTCATCTACGAGGGCTACCGTTACAAGTTCACTGCGACTAAATCCACCATTGACAGCTTCACTTTGTTCGTCAACGGCACAAAATGCTCAGTCGGCGTCAGGGCACTTGCTGATGGCGGTCTCTTGATTCTGCTAAGCGGAAAGTCTCACAACGTCTACTGGAAGGAGGAGGTCGGCGCCACCCGTCTCTCCGTTGACGGCAAGACCTGCCTTCTCGAGCAGGAGAACGACCCCACCCAGCTGCGCACACCATCGCCCGGTAAGCTCGTCAGGTTCCTCGTTGAGAACGGAGAGCACGTTGGCCAGGGCCAGCCTTTCGCTGAGGTTGAGGTCATGAAGATGTACATGCCTCTCATCGCCCAGGAGGCTGGTATGGTCAACCTCATCAAGCAGCCAGGAGCCGTTCTTGAGGCTGGTGACATTCTCGGTGTCCTAGCTCTGGATGACCCTTCCAAGGTCAAGTCGGCCCAGAACTTCACCGGTCAGCTTCCCGAGCTAGGTGCCCCTCAGGTGCCAGGAGCCAAGCCACCGCAGCGATTCGTCTACCTGTACTACATCCTGCAAAACATCTTCCAGGGTTTCGACAACCAGGTCATCATGCAGAGCACTCTCAAGGAGCTGGTCGATGTCCTCCGCGACCCTGAGCTGCCATACGGCGAGTGGAACGCCCAGGCCTCCGCTCTCCATGCGCGTATGCCCCAGAAGCTTGATGCCACCTTCTCGCAGATCGTTGAGAAGGCGCACAGCCGCAACCTCGAGTTCCCTGGCAAGGCCCTCAACAAAGCTT